CCTCATCACACCTACCTGGATTGCTCTGAATGATTTCTAATGTCACCTGGATGAAAAATGAGTGTAAATGAAGCATTCAGCAGTCCCATGCATGCCAAGCAAGAGGCTTGGGCGAAAAGGCAGAATTCAAAGAGTAGTTTTCAGATTTTCCTTTGATAGCTCATCCAACTTTCTTTATGACTTTGTAATTTTGCTACTTTGAAAGCCACAAGTGAACTTTGTTTTTAAAGAATCGGTTTTAACATAAAGTCATAATCATGTGCAGTATTTTTAAGAGTACTGAAAGTTTTTATTTTATTCAACCTATCAAATTTTATTTTTACACACTGGCCATTTGAAACATAAGGTAGCTAGTGAAATTCTGAATTGATAAATTTATTATGTAACAAATACTAATTTTGCAGGTAGGAGACTGCTCTGTCATACATGGTTCTAGATAATTTCACTGTAAACATCTCTGCTCCAAGCAATATCACTGCAAACATTTCACTGCCTAAGTATTGGCTTTAAGGCAATTTTGCTGTAAAAGATAAAATCATGAAAAATAAAAGAGCATCATTCATTGAAAAAGATAATGAAACATGGATAATGAGTAACAAATTTTAAAAGACTTTATTTTGTGAAATACAAACTACTTGAATACATTCAAAACGTATGCTGTGGAGTCACAGCAGTACTGCAAAACTCACTGCTTTTATTTCGTGGGTTATACCTAAACACTGGTCTTTAAAGTCTTTCATTCATAGTGTTACATTTTTCTGGGATGTTTTGGCTGGTTGATTTGTCTCATTCTTCGGCATTGTACTTTTCTTTTTCTTTTTTTTTTGCTAAAATCTCTTCATCTTATGACAGAAGGATCAGTCTCTAGACACTAGGAAGCATATTTGTCACTAAGCTTTGTATTTTTTTTGTGTGTTGTGAAAGCGTTCTCCATAGTTATTTTTTCTTTCCATACTGGTACATGTCCAACGACAGACATTGCAAAGTTCTGTAGGAAATGTGTATACACCATTATGAGGGCTAATATTTATGTCATACAGAAATGGGAGTACAATCCGTCAATGCAGCATGCATCGATGGAGAAAAGAAATCAAACTATCAACCCGTTTAAGAAACCAAACTGTCAAACCGATCTGTCAATCAATTATTTTTTATCTTTTATGGCAAAGTTGCCTTATGGCCATTTAGTGATGAGGTGAAAATGCTTGCAATGAAAATGCTTGTGGCAAAGAAGTCTATGGCAAAAATACTAAACATTTTGTGTCGTATACATCCTTGCATGACAAAGATAGTCAATTACCTTCTATATTAGTATCTGTGGGCAGCACATGTCTCACATGGTGTGGGACGGTGGGAGGTAGGGGATTCTGAATATGGAGAAGTTAGAAAGGGGTCCTCAAATTCATCCACAACCATTTGAAGTCATATTTGAAGATGGTGAAAAGAATTTCTCCTATGTATATGTATATGTGTGTATACACACACACACACACGCTATCTTCAGTAGGTACATATATACCTACACACATGCCTTTAGCATAAACAATTAACTATGTAAATGGTGTCTTGACAAAATACAGATATGCTCAAACATGTAACTGACTTAAAAGTTGTCATCTGCTATCCTCTACTTTCACTGTTAGTGGATACAGAACATGCAAATACCAAGAGATAAAATTTTGGTTTAACAAAGTTTTCCCACATGAGGAAATGTGGTAAGGCACTGAGCAACAAAGTAGAGAGCATAAGAAATGTGGGACAGCAATGTTTCCATAAACAGAATTCCTGCTTGTTCAAATCAGAAATCTATGATCTGTATCTCTCTCTCTGTCTCTCCTCTTTCAAGGATCTCCCTCAATTATCATTTCTCTATTTTGTGTCTATAAGCTTTCCCTGGATGTGTATCCCTTTACTAATTTATAATAATGAATCAGCTCTTCCGTTCCTAAAAATATATATATATGTGTGTGTGTATATACATCCATACCTGTGTGTGCATCTAAACAACTTCGCCTGGAGTTGATGGTCTTACTTTTCCCCCAGTATTTCTTAGCAAATTTGCAAAGATTTTAGGGAAAAAAAAAAAAAAAGGACTTTATCCAGATTTCTATTTCCTCACCCCTTATGTACCTCTCAACTACCTGTTGGCTTTTATTCATACAACTTTATATAATAAATCTTATGCCAAAGTAACACACATGGTCTCTTGTTCCTGGAGACACAATGAACAGAGAGAAGAGGATGCCCATTTAAAACAGATATAAATGTGTGTGGATGTATCTGTGGATGTAGGTAAGCATACACGTGTAAGTGTGCTTATCACAGAACTTGGCTACAGCCACTGAAATTAGAATCACAGAACCAATCAAGTACCTAATTCCAAGAACATTTTCATTTTTATGTTAGGTAAAAATAGCATTTACATTGCAGAAACTAAGCACTAATTCATTTCCAAAGTTGCTTTGGTATTAATAAAGGTATGTGGCCTTAAGAAAAGTGTGTGTCCATAGAGCATAGGAGTCACTATGTTAGCAAACAAACAGCAGGATGGTTGAATAAGACTAAATTCATCAGTTTTACAAAAGTGAATGTGATATGAATCATTTATTATGTGGTTCAGCATGTCACAAAATGCTTTGTTTAAAAAGTTGAGTTCCTGTAAAAGGTGAAGGGGCTGAGAAGCAGTGTTTCAGGACATTAATATTTAGAATGGACATTTTTAGAATGTATACACAGAAAAATGACCTTAAACTAGCAAATTCTTCATTTATTCAATTAAACAATTTGTGACAATAGAGGGTAGAAAATAATTGCTTTCCTCATGACATAATTCCTTTTGTATTAAAAAAAAAAAAAAGGAAAAAAAAAAAACCCTCATGATATGCCTCCAAGAGATGTTATTGTGTTAATCCTGGATGCAAATACAGTTTTGGAAGAAGAAATAAATTACAAGTTTAGGTGAAAATCACCTCTCCTTTTATGCATTTATATTCTTTTATTCAAATTCATTGGAATATATGGAGGGAAATCGGAGGGGGAGACGAACCATGAGAGACTATGGACTCTGAGAAACAAACTGAGGGTTCTAGAGGGGAGGGAGGTGGGGGGATGGGTTAGCCTGGTGATGGGTATTAAAGAGGGCATGTTCTGCATGGAGCACTGGGTGTTATGCGCAAACAATGAATCATGGAACACTACATCAAAAACTAATGATGTAATGTATGGTGATTAACATAATAAAATTAAAAAAAACAATATATTATATACTCCTTAAAATCAAGATACACCTCGGGCACAAAATCTGATATCAAATGTAAAATTCATTGCTGTATTCCTTTAAGAAATTCTTCCTGGGATGCCTGGGTGGCTCGGTCAAGTTAAGGGTTTGCCTTTGGCTCAGGTCATGATCTCAGGGTTCTGGGATCGAGCCCGCATCGGGCTACCTGCTCTGCAGGAAGCCTGCTTCTCCCTCTCCCTCTCCCTCTGTGACCTCTCTGGCTCTCACTCTCTCTCAAATAAATAAATAAATAATACCTTTAAAAAAATGCACTACTGGGCATGAATAAAGAAATTATTTGTCCACAAAAGTTGACTTTGTTTTGATGAAGGCATGTTTCAAAGTACGTAATTTGCTTATGTTTTCAATTCTTTAATCATATTCCAATCACATATAGGCTAAAAAGTACCTAAGTGTATTTCAAAGTGCTGCAAAATTTTCATCAATACTGTACCAAATTATTCACAATGTTGTGTCTGCAAAACTATCTAAATATATTAGTTCACCTTTTTCTTCTCTCCTTTCAATTCCTGAAATGCATAAAAAACAATCCACTAGTGCTCATGATGAGCCACACCTTTCTAAGTGTGAAAAGTCCAAATAAAAGCAAAGTGAATTGGCATTTTACTCAGAAGACACTTGTGGATAAGTATGTAATTTCTGTTGGAATTTGTGAAACAAAAAATAGCTTATATCATTATTTTTTTAATGGATCCTTAACATTTAAAAAAACCAAGTTGAGAATCATTCTCTTATCAAATGCAGAGTCACTAAGAAAGATGAAATAAGCTGATGGTAGGATTGCTAGAGAAATAGTCACAGTTGATATTCTCCACCATATCAGCAGGTTTTGCTACATGGATGGACATTCAAATTAGTCAGGGCTCCCTACAATACTTTCCTCTGCAGTTAAATAATCACTGTAACAAATACATTCCAACCTCAAAATACTTATCTTCACATTCTTCATTGCATACTGAAATAGAACACTTTTTACATACCGTACGTTATAAGATTTTGTCTAAAATATTTTCTTCAAAGTGTACAACTGAATAAAGGAAGCCTCATTTAAAATGGTGTTGGGAGGCCTTGATCCCAGGACCCTGGGATCATGACCTGAGCCGAAGGCAGGCACTTAACTGAGCCACCCAGGCGCCCCTATAATCTTTAATAATTAAATGATCATAAATTTATCCTAGAAAAGCTCAAACTGTTCCTATTTTTCCATTCTCTTCTGGTTATTCTCTTCCTATAATATTTTCTTATATAGAATCTATATATAAGAATCAAATAGGGGTGCCTGGGTGGCTCAGTCATTAAGTGCCTGTCTTCAGCTCAGGTCAGGATCCCAGGGTCCTGGGATCGAGCCCCGCGTCGGGCTCCCTGCTCGGCGGGAAGCCTGCTTCTCCCTCTCCCACTCCCCCTGCTTGTGTTCCTGCTTGTGCTCTCTCTCTTTGTCAAATAAATATATAAAATCTTTAAAAAAAAATCAAATAGGATTCTATAGGTCCAAATTAATAAGTTAGACATAAGGTAGTTATGGATCACATAAAAATATTATATATTTAATAATTCTTTAATTTAGCCAATGGTTTATAATCCATGATCTGTATGACTTTATAATCAGCACACTAACATCCCTTCTTACTGCCCCTCCCTGACAGTCTCTTTAAAAACCATCTACATTGATATTAAGATTAAAATACTATAAACTTGCACTCACTTTTTTGTCTTTGTTGTATTTGGCAAATATTTCCTGGGCTCTCTCTTCTCCTCCGTCCGTGAACAACATGATAATCTTATTGCAGTTGGCTCTAGAAACATTATACTGTAAAGAAAACAAAAACAAAATGTGGATCATTCACAATAAAAGGTAAGAAATATAAAACAATATGTAAAGAGCATGAACAGATTGCAGGTAGTGGGTGAAAGATCTGTTCAGTAGGTATATTCTAAAGAACCACTTCCGAGATCAGGCCAGGCCCATCCCTACCAGGGCCTCCTCCCATCCCCCAGACATCCATAGGTCTCACTTCCTTTGGGTCTTTGATCAAATGTCACCTATCAGTGAGGACTTTACTGAAAACTATGTTTTACATTGCCATCTCTCTCCCAGGTTGTATTTTGCTTCATAGCATTTTATATTCTTTTATGTACATAGTATCTACTTTTTTATTGCTGGCTTCCCCTGACTGAATTTAAGTGCTATAAGGGCATGAACTTTTGTCTTTTTTGATCGTCAACGGCTTAGCATATAATAATAACCTCTCAGTGGTTGATTAATAAATGGATTTTAAACTAATGGCTATTATGTCAATTTTATGCGCCTATAATTTGTACCAGAAACAAATAAATAGTATGAATGAAAATTCTGCATACCCTTCCACATATATTTTTAATCCATTTACAAACATTTTTGCTCCCTTTCCTCCTTCTTCATCCTACTTTATTCACTTTACCTCTCCAAAATTATAAACTCCTAGTTGATCCCTAACACCCAATGCTCTTATATTTTTGTAAATGCTAATCCCAGACTATCCTGTTATCCTCTCTCAACCCGCCAAACATACTCTAATTCTGAAAGATTCAATTCCAATGGCAAATCCCCTTTAAACTTTAAGGTCTCCAAAGAGTCAGTCATAGGAGAACAATGGATTAGCAACAAAGGGCCACTAAAATGAACAATTACTTTAGAAAGCTGGACTTCTTTGAGGTCTGAAATTACAATCTCAAGCTTCTACTGTTATGAAATGTGTTTGCAAAAGTGTTGAGAATAAAAGACTACACTACTTTATGAATGCTCAGCTTCTTTGAAAATGTCAAACCTCCAGCTGAGTACTGTTCAATGGAGGTATACTGCCAGCCAAATTTGTAAGTTTAACTTTCTAATGGCCACAGTAACGGAAGTATGAAGAAATCTCTGAAATTAATTCTACTAGCATATTTTACTTAACCCAGTCATCCAAAATATTATCAATTCAACATGAAATCCATATAGAAATTACTGAGATAGTATACATTTTTTCTTTCAGCGTAGCTCTTCAAATCCCCGTGTTTATTTTATATTTACAACACATTTCAATTCAGACCAGGCACATTTCAAGTCTCAACAGACACATGGAATTGTGGTTACCATACTGGACACTACCAGCCCTGGCCTTTAAATGATTACTGTTTTTGAAAAAAAATCAATTCTTGGGTAGTGGTTAGGATTCTGGAAAGTCTATACTCGATCTCACTTTTCAAGAAAGATAAATCCCATTTCGCACTGTAAAAGTTAGGCAAGACAATATTATGCTCTATTGATGAAAAAATCCTGTTTCATATAATCTCACCCCATTGATCAGGCCATCAGAACATGGCAGTTAAAGCTTTGAACAAAGTATTGTGAAAATGCAAGTACTAATACAATTGTCACATTCAAACATAGTTCTTATCTGAAAGCCATATGAAAATTTGACTATACAAAAAGTTACATACTTTATCATCAAAATGCTTTTGTGAAAGGCACTGAAATCCTTAACTAAAATTAATTTCTTTGATGATTTCTTTTTATCTGTCTCTTTAAGATGGGCAAAATATATGTACCTAAAGGACTGTTACATAAAAGTGATTAGGTAAAGATTTTATGTAAGGACTTGGTTTCATTTTTGGAAGTAGTGGGGGCATTTTTATTAATGAATACAAGTACCAGTGTAAGTAAACACACTGGGTCTTGCTGATCACTTGTGTATTAAAATAATAATGTTTCCCAAGAGAGAGATATTAGGACATACACAAAAGGGGGAATGACAAAATGTTTTGTTTTCAACATGATTTTTCCTAGGAGTAGCCTCCTTAGTAGATGTGTGGTAGAGCAAAGTCAGCAACTAGTCAGAGGATTTGCAATTATCTAAAGAATCACACAATCATAACATTTATATGTTACTGGTTTGTAACAAATTAAGTAAAGAACTTGACTATTTCAATAAAACGACAATTAGTAGAGTTGGTAATTTACTTTAATATGTTATTTCATAAATTACGGTATGTCTATCCCTGTATATCCTGTGTTTCCTTGTATCACTGTGTGGCCAGTACACAGCATAGCATCTATCATATTATGTACTTAATAAAAAATTTTTTGGGGTGCCTGGGTAGCTCAGTCAGTTAAGCATCTGCCTTCGGCTCAGGTCATGATCTCAGGGTCCTGGGATCGAGCCCCGCATCTGGCTCCCTGCTCAGTGAGGAGTCTGCTTCTCTCTCTCTGCCCCTCCCCTCACTCATGCTCTCTCTCTAATAAAATCTTAAAAAAAATTTTTTTTTGAACAATGCATCTCCGTATATTTGTAATATTTTATGAAATTCTACCTGAGGACTAATTCAAATCTCAGTTTATGGTGTACTGTGGGATAAATGATACATTTAATTCTATTTGATATTTGCTTCAGGGATCTTAATGATAAACCTTACAAGGACAAACTAGTAAAAACTAAAGAATGATACTGTGTGATAAGACTGGAAGTATTTGAAATAGGTAACAAAATCTGCTTCAACTTTGAATAAGGCAAGTAATGACATCTGGGAAAATTATTTTATTATTTTTTAAAGATTTTTTTTTATTCATTCATTCATTTATTTGAGAGAGAGAGAGAGAGCACAAGGAGGGGAAGGAGCAGAGGGAGAGGGACAAGCAGACTCCACGCTGAGCGCACTGCCTGACATGGGGCTCGATCCCATGACTCAGAATCGTGAGTAAGCTGCTTAACCTACTGAGCCACCCCGGTGCCCTTGGGGTAATTATTTTAAAATGAAGAACTGCAATACATAAGGGATATGTGGAAAGCAGAACATAGGACTTATTTCAGGAATAACTGAGGTCATATTAAATATCATTTACAATTGTGATAGCGGTAGTACGAGAGGCCAAGAGGAGTTAAATCATATTTAATCAGCAACTAGTAGTGAATCTGGGAGTTAATGTGGCCTCTCTAATGAGACAGCCTTGGAAATAGTACACGAGGCTTGAGACCCCTTATCATTTCACAACTGAATCCTGAATACAAGGGCATGAAGTGACGCAAATTAACAATACCAAGAAGAGTAATGACAATGACACAATCTAGAAAAACCTGATTGACTTAAAAGAAAAAGAACTTCTATGAAAAAACCCACAAACTTCTATTTCTTTACTGGAGAAAGAATCCATTTTCATCTAATCGTTCATTACATCTGATTCTCAAAGTTCTGAGTTTTCATCGTTCTATTAACCAACATACATCTTTTAATAAACATATGCATTTAACCAAAGAGAATTCCCCTGGAAACTGCAAAGCTGAACTACTTTGCTTTCCTGTCTCCTTACTTGCTTATTTAACGTTACCTAATAAATACCAGCACCTCAAACTCCACGTAGCAGAAACAGAGCTATTTCTACCCTCACAGTCCCTCTCTCTAGATTCCTGTGTCACCAGCCAGCAACTGTTCGAGTCCAGAGAACCATCCAGTTAGTTACCATGTCATTCTCCTTAACGTTTCTTTGCGTCTACTCCAAGACCAGGACTTATACAACAGCTTAACTTAGAACACTCGTTAGACCATGTCATTCTCATATTATCAACTTTTCATTTGCTCCTAAACACCTCATTAACTGACACCTCATGGCCTTTTTATTTCCCTCGCAGCTCCTGTATTGCTATGTCCCAGTCATGCTGAAGCACCGGCCATTTTCTCAATGTGCCACAATGTCTCCTACGTCTGTGCCTTTGTCCATGTTGTTCTTTTTATCTGACATGATTTTCCCTCTCTCATCTACCTGCCTAAATTCTACTCATTCTTCAAAATCCTGTTTTCAAGGAAATGCCCACTCTCCCAACCTCCTTTGGGTAAGCTGAACCCCTCTTTGGTGCCACTCAAGTAAACAGACTCCAAATGCCCTATAACAGCACTAACATACTACACTAGGAATAATAATTAACCATATCATGCTGGACATTGTTGAAATCGGACAGTCTTGTTTACCTCTGCTATTCTAGTGCTGGTAACATGGCAGGAAATTGTGAGGCACACAATAAATATTGGCTGAATCAATGATTCAGACAACCTGAAAACTGTTTAGAAGCTTTACTTAGGGAACAACAAAGTAGGATTTGCAGATAAGACCACATGTAAGGGCTTCTTTAGTGACTCAGCAAATATGGTATGAATTATGAGCTGACTCTCTAGCAGACATGTGCTAGTTGTTAATTATGGTCATAATGATCATGACTCCAACACCAAGCCAACAACCCACACTCACATGAGGTTTGCTATGTGTCAGGTTCTGTGGACAATCCTATCTACAACCCTCTGAGGTATGTGCCATGGTGTAAGGGAGGAAGTCAAAGTAGAGAAAGGTTAAGTCTGCACTCTCAACCACCATGATAATATTGCTTTGTGAGAGGTAAAAAAACTGAATGAGGGGTGCCTGGGTGGCTCAGTTGTTAAGTGTCTGCCTTCAGCTCAGGTCATGATCCCAGGGTCCTGGGATCCAGTCCCGCATCAGGCTCCCTGCTCAGCGGGAAGCCTGCTTCTCCCTCTCCCACTCCCCCTGCTGTGTTCCCTCTCTTGCTCTCTGTCAAATAAATAAAAAAAATCTTTAAACAAACAAACAAAACAAAACCTGAATGATAACTCCTGCACTTGAAGAGTTCAAAATGAAACAGATGACATAGCCATTTGAGAACACTAGTCTGGAGTGTGAGATATACACTGTAATATGGGGCAGACAGTAGGCGTGCTGGAGTGTGAGAGTCTAAATGGAACATAGGTGGGTGATTTGTTGGGAGGGGGATCTTCACTGAGGAAGGAATCCCTGCTCCGGCATTTTATGTTCTCCTCACCTTCATGTCTGTCATTTGGACCTTCCTATACATTAAGAAATAACTTCAAGAACAAAGTAGATGTTTAAAACTAAAATATTTCCACCAGCCATTGGACAATTGAAAATGCCAGTCTCCAGATAAATACAGTAGTGATCGAGAAAACAAAAAGGAAATGATATTCTACATATGCCAACTAAGTTGGAAGGGTTTATACAAAATTAAATAATTATCTTACAAATGTGCTTCTTAAACAGAGTTTTAAAAGATGATGGAAGAAAAGATTTAAAAGAAAAAAATGTCTACATTTTGTATGTCTTTGAATTTTGGATTTAAAAATAAAAGTAGTTCAAAGATTTCTATTGCCTGGACACATCTGCTTTTAAATTAAATGAAAAACAGCACTGTTATGTAACTCATAGTGACTGATGGTGGTAAGTACCAGCATACTGAAATTCATATGCTGTGATTCAGTAATAAAAGAGAAAAGGGGGTGGTATGGATACTTACATTAAGCAGCTGTTCAAAAGCAAAACTAAAGCCTTTCTTATAGTCAGTGATTCCTTTTGCTGTGATATTATTCACTGCATCTTTCAGCACTTTCTTATTTCTCACATTGGCTTGGACAAGGTGCTGAAAACAGCTCACATCCTGGGCATTGCTGTTAAACTGTGAAAGATAAAACGTAAATGTATAAATGAACACGAAAATCAATCATATCATTTTATTTGACTGTGTGGTTTATATGTCCCAGTCCTGTTGCACTGCTTTCTCTTTCATAAAGTGAGTAAATTGGTAACAAAAGTGCACTAAGGCTCAAACAGCAATTTTCATCTGAGCCCCCAACTCCTAGTGTAACCCTGAGCCTGTCACTCACCTTCCTGAAGCTTAGTTTCTCTGATCATAAATTTAGGACTTGAATTACATAAGGTCCCTTTCAGCTCTCAAATTTTCGGAGCCTTTAGAGAGAGGGGAAAAAAAAAAAGCCAACAAACAATGAAATGTATTCAGAATCCAGAAATGATATGGTGACACCTGGGAAGGTTCAAGGACAAACTAACCACTTGTTTACCTCTCGCAAGGAAAAGCTAGGTGGAAAGGAAGTAAAGTCAATGACAGGAACAGAGTTTTAGTAATCTTGAAATGTGATGGTACAATCTTTCTACCAGGGATAACCCAGGAAAGTAATGTGAAAGAATCAGGAACAACAGGTGGCCTTTTAGAACTGCTTGCTGGAGAGCTTATATACAGACGGCATGATGGAGGGAATGATGGAGGCAAGGCCAAGGGCAAGCAGATCCTTGCTGTAAGTGATGAAGCCCTGAACAACTAGGAAGCTGCAGGAGGACAGAACGTCGACCTCTGATGCCTGCCCCAACATGAAAATTTAAGAATTATCACCCAACTAATATCACCCATCCTATCAAAAGTATTCACATAGTTCATTGGGTATTTCCCAAAAAGCTAAGAGCACTGAGTTCTGCAGTGAGATCTGGGACACTGAGGCAAGTGGAAACATCCCATCATTTATTAACTCTGCTATTTTTATGAGCCCCTGAGGCTCTTGGGGCCGAGTATCACATCTGCAAAATGAGGATAATAATAAAACCATGCCTGCTAGAAGGTAGGAGGCTGGCCAGATGAAATGTTGGAGACTTTCTCAAAGACACATAATTAAACAATTTTAATAGGTGGATCACAAACCAAAATATAAATTTTATAACTGGTCACATATTCTTATAAATATAACAATCATTCCTTTTTTCTCTGAAAATCAATGAAGCTTAGTTATAAGATGCACTGCATGTTTCATCAATTCAATAAGCAAATATTTACTATCAGCCTGTCATAGGTCAAGAATTGTGGCGGATGATAGTTTTGTATCTTCAGGCATTAAGTAAATTATGCACAAACGTATACATACGTATGTATGTAAGCCCCTATCTGGTGCCTACTATATGTTGCATTTACTCTACAAATATTAACCATTTCCTCTTTGCAAATGCCCTACAAGATACATATTATTATTATTACTATTCACTAAGAAACGTAGGTGCTGGGGGGTTAGAGAACTTGCCCGTAGTTACCAGGTACATAAGACATAGAGTCAGGATCAGATTAGCACTGTGACATAAGAGTCTGGGATTTTAACTATTCTTGCAGAGCCTCCTAACTAACATATTACAATACATTACGATTAGTTCTGTAAAGCAATAGAGAAAACAGCTCACATCCTGGGCATTGCTGTTAAACTGTGAAAGATAAAACGTTTTTGTATAAATGAACATGAAAATCAATCATATCATTTTATTTGACTGTGTGGTTTATATGTCCCAGTCCTGTTGCACTGCTTTCTCTTTCATAAAGTGAGTAAATTGGTAGCAAAAGTGCACTAAGGCTCAAACAGCAATTTTCATCTGAGCCCCCAACTCCTAGTGTAACCCTGAGCCTGTCACTCACCTTCCTGAAGCTTAGTTTCTCTGATCATAAATTTAGGCAAATTTCCTAGGAGACAATATCACAAGTGGGTTCCATTTTGGACTGTGAGTATTCAGGGGAAAATTCGCATGAGAAATGGCATTTCCTGTGATTCCAGAGAAATGTTTCACTGAAGACTATGGAGGAAGAACATTCCAGACAAGTAGAACAACAAAAGGGAAGCCGTTTAGGGATGTATAAAGAAGAAGAGTTCGGCTCAGTCAGACATGAGTGAGGAAAATGACATAAAATGTGTTCACGGAGGGAGGCGGGGCTAGACCATGCATGGTCCAACAGAAATGCTGAAGAACTACACTTTGAATTTCTGTCAAATGGCAAGTCACAGAAAGATTTTAAGCCACATACAAAATAATTTAATGTAAAAATTTAAGAGAGCATGCAAGCTGCTATTTGGGAAATGGATTTAAGGTGAGCAAAATTCAAAAGGGAGAAAATAATTTGAAGGCTATTACAATAATCTAGCTCAACATAATAAGTGGCTTTGGTATGTGTGAAGACTGTCAGACAAGGAGGGGTTGTACATCGATTGGGAGGAAGAATCCACAATGTATGGTGGTGGACCGGGGATGTTGCTGAGTAAGAGCCTCTTATCAGGAATGCCCTGCAGGTGTCTGACATAGGCATTAGGATGGCCTGAGGACTAGAGGAGTGATGGACTCATGGGTACTTGAGGAAGAGGCAAGAGAAGTACAGAGTTCAATGAGGCTGAGTTTTCAATATAAGTGAGACATGCAAATGGTGAAGTCAAGCGTCAGTTCTAAATTCCACTGCCTCTTTTATCCCATTCCTTGATAATGTGACACAATCTTATTCTGCACATTCCATTTTGAAAACAAAAGAACGTGAGCATTCCCATGTTAGAAAGTTAAAAAAAAAAAAAAAGTTTGCCAATGAATCAACAGTAGAATGTCTGACCTTCGAGAATTATTAAAAATGGTTACAGGAAATGTTATTAACTGATTTAGTTAAACCATGACTCATGATAAAATTACAAGTTTGCAGAAAATGAGCACTAAATAATGTATTGCCCTGAGTCTTTCGGTTGGCCTTGACCTGCTTTTAACACAGAAAAATGAAGCATCTCATTAAGCCACTTTAACACAAACTGATTAAATGTAAATCGAATTCATTAAATACAAATTCAGGGGTGTATAACAGAAATACTATGATTATACTCATAATAAAACTCATAAATAATGCAGGGGAAGGAATAGCCTACAAAGTATAAGTCCCCATAGCAAATCTTATTCTCCTAGGAAAGGGAAGAAATTTTAAAAGTTCGAAATTCGGTAAGGGTGTATTTCACAGACATCTTATACTCATCTGCTTTTAGAACAGACAAAAAGAACAGGTTTATTTTCACAAGCTGCAGTTGCAGTCTTTGGTAACAAGTGCCTAAATTTTAATTTATAAACCACATATTTAATACATAAATCACTTATGTATTAAAAACCTTAGGGCAAAAGCTTAATAACATTACAAAGCTTGGAAATAGTATATTGTGAGTGAAAATAGATTTAAGGAGCCCTGCTTTTGTCACCAATTAAGAAAATGCTTTTTTTAAATGTATATTTTTAACTAACCCAGGAGTCAGAAATCCAAGCTAATACCACACTGATTCCTTTCCCAATCCCAGAAAATTCAACCAAGTAGGCCTCTTATAAGAACTGTTGAGAAAATCTCTGCTAGCATGCTGAGACAGAAAGATGTGTGGGTTAAGGTGAGCATCTGGGGTATAAATCACGTGGAACTTTGTATTCCTACTCGAGCAAATGACCATTCTTTCATTTCCTCCTTCCATATAACCTGTTCTTCTGCCTACAACACTCCTCTTCCTTAACAGTCTTTCCTTACAAAAGGCTTTCATGACCTTTCTTGACTAGCTCAAACCATCCCATTATAAACTTTCCTAGGCCTAGACGTATCTTTCACAGAATACAACTCCATTAAAATTTCCTACTTCTCTGTATGGTATCTTGATAGATTCTTCCACTGGATTAGAAGCCCACATAGTCAAAGAAAATTGCCATCCCAGCACTGCAACTTCAGTACTGGGTATATAATAGTATGCTATAAATATTTGATAAATGTATGTATGGAGTTTCATTAGAAGACAGTGTGAAATGTTGATCAAAATCAAGCTATAGATTTATAATTGTAGAAGTATTTTAGCTTTATACTATGTTAAGCTTATATATTCATAAAGTATTCTGTCTCAATAGATGCTATTAAAACACCCAAAGAAAGAGATGTGTAAAACACCTATTAAAAAGTCTGGCACATAGTAGACGTTAAATCAAGCACAACTCTATTATTTAAAAAACTATTTTAGCAAAAACATTAGTATGCTCAAATCAGAACAGATTCCTAGATTGAGAAAGATTCTGATAAACGATATCAGCTTTAGTGAGCTTTAAAGTTCACTAACGGGATGATACAAGTATCCTTCAAACATTAACTTATTATTTGAACAGTCTCTGAAATAACCATGAATAGTAAATTTCAATGCTTCCAAAGACCGTTCCTATTAAATATCATAGTCAAGTACACACATCATATTAAAAGATACTTTCAGTGACAAAATAAATTGTGAACCTCTCAAATGAAGTAATTTAAACTCTTAGCTTTACAAAGACAGTATTTTTGTTCTCAGGTGCTCTGCTCAGTAAGAAATCACTTCACAAAATATTTCTGAGAGAGAGAACTCTGCTGCTCATTGAATCCACCTTGGATAAAAATGCAATGTCGGCACATCGTTAAGTCAAAGAAGCATCAAGGGCGCCTGGGTGGCTCAGTTGGTGAAGCGACTGCCTTTGGCTAGGGTCATGATCCTGGAGTCCCAGGATCGAGTCCCGCATCGGGCTCCCTGCTCGGCAGGGAGTCTGCTTCTCCCTCTGACCCTCTTCCCTCTCGTGCTCTCTATCTCTCATTCTCTCTCTCTCAAATAAATAAATAAATAAATCTTTAAAAAAAAAAAATCAGTTTAAAAAAACAAAACAAAACAAAGAAGCATCAAGTTCCTTGAAAGCAACCTTGTGTAGGAATGGCGCCCTCGTGGGATGTCATAACACATTTTCACAAGGCACTCAAGCCTACCTTTGAAATCGTTAATGGGCTCAAGTAGTTTTCCTCTAGAAACATTAAGAATTAAAGATAAAAGAAACCCAAAG